TAAATAAATAAATAGGCCAAATTTACTCATTGAAAAGAAAATATTTGAATACCTATTGGTGGCACAAATGGTTAAACAGTTGGCTATTAAACCAAAAAGTTGATGGTTTAAATCCACCCAGAGATGCCTCTAAAGAAAGTCCTGGCTATCCAAGTCCTAATCATCAGTTACTGAAATCCCTATGAGCACAGTTACACAGTGAAAACACCATGTCACCATGAATTGGAGTCTACTTGAGGGCAGCTGGTATTTATTGTTTATGACATACCAAACACTATGCTTGTTGTTATTAAGTTGTTGTTAAGTACCATCAAGTCTGTTCTGACTCATAGTGACCCTGTATAGAACTTCCAAGGAGTGACTAGTGCGTTTGAACCTCCAACCTTACAGTTCAAACCAACCTCACAGTCTAGTACTTATCCTACAGTGCCACACCAGACTCCAACATGTGATAGGCACCAGATATACAATACTGGACAAAATCACTACTTGTATGAAGCTATCACATAGAGATTATAATCTCCAAAGTACATTTGGTACCTTGATACTTTCCAGAATAGCCTGCTCTAGAAACTTTTGATCTTTGGTGTTGTTGTATGCCATGAAGTTGGTTTTGACTCACAGCAACCCTGTGTAGAGTCACTAAGAGAAGTTGATGGGTTTGAACTGCCAACCTTGCAGTTACAAGTGCAGTGCTTATCCTACAGTGTCACCTCAAGACTTCAATGGTGTTGTTGTTGTTAAGTGCTGTTGAGTTTGTTCCAACTCATAGTGACCCTGTATAAGGTTTCCAAGGAGTGGCTGGTGGGTTTGAACAACCAACCTTGTGGTTAGCAGTCCAGTGCTTATCCTACAGTGCCACACTAGGAGTCTTCAATGGTGATGGCGGTTGTGTTCCAAGGAGTCAATTCCAATTCATAGTTACCCTGCATAGGGTTTCTGATGCTATAAAACTTTATGGGAGCAAAAAGTATCATCTTTTTCCCATGGAATGGCTGGTAGTTTCAGACTGCTAACTTTGAGGTTAGCAGCCTGTCTTGTAGCCATTATGCTACCAGAGTCTCTGGTAAATTTTCAATGTAGTGGAAGAGAGACACCTAACAAATACAATCCACAATTATATACCAAAACCTTTTCTCATAGGAATATGTTTTAAAGTTTCAATTTCTACATTGTACAAAAATTAGCTGTAGTAACCTCAGTGAACAATTTCAAAAGAACATGACCAAATGCTACCCATATCAGTGGCAAAACATGGACTCTGCAGCATCCAGACTAAAATAGGCCAGCTGACTTTAGTCCCAGAGATAAAATCTCAATACTCTTGGTTTTTCAAAAACAAACAAAGGGGTTCTCAGACTTCCAGAAAGATGGTGGAATAAGCAGACACACTACACAGACCTTCTGCAACAAAGACCATGAGAGACCAAATAAAACAGACAGATGAAGATCTGGGAACCCTGAACTTCAGAATAAATGTGAGAGAGGTGTATTGAGTTCTTGCTGAGAGAAGTTGAGCAAGGACAGCAAGAGAGGGAGACAGACTGGTGAATGGCCTGTCAGATGCAGTGTGACCAGCTTGAATCTTTGTGAGCAGCAATTGCAAAAGAAGGTGGCCTAGCAAAGCAGAGTCACACAGGTGACTGGAAAGTTGCAATTCCTTCCTTTTCCCCACACTCCCCTGGTGACCAGAGGTATGGCCAGTCCCCACCTTTATGCACCCATAGGACAGCCCCTGCTCCCCAGGAGATCAGACCCACATGGTTGAGAACAACACTAGTATGAGGCGGTGGCCAGCTGCTCTACTTTGGTGCACCATTTTGGTGCCTGGATTCAGCTTAGGACCTACAGTATCCACAGAGCCACCAGAACATCATTTAACCAGTCACCCTGCCCCCAGCTGCCCTATGGTCCTAACAGACACTAAGACTAACTCTGTCAAGGCCTCCACGAACTAATTCTAGATTGACTTCCCTGAATATAGATAACACTGAGGACTATAGGAACTCTATCTAGGCCAGGAACTCTGCTGTCTTATCCCTCCCATACCCACCTCGTGAGATTCTCAGCTTGCAGGAGTCCCCCAAGTTTTCTTCTCTCCGGGTCCAAGAGCTGCATTGTTTTTAGTGTTGTTTTGGGATTTGTTTTGTTTTTTTCCTTTTGTTGTCTCATTGTTTTTGTTTGTACTTTCTCTTTCTTCTCTTCCCATTCCCTTGAATTTTATCCTATCTTCACTTCTGATTTCCTTCTTTTCTCTCATTCTATCTCTCATTCTCTTCTTCTTTTTTCCCCTCTTTTTTTTTTTTATTACTCTCTATTCTCTCTTTTCATCTTTCCTCTCCCTAGTTTTTTAAGGTTTATTTTTATTTCTTCCTTTTGTTTTCTATCCTATAGCCTCATTTTACTGTCCTTCTTTTCTCTTTTTGGTTATTATAATTTTTTTTTTCTGGTCCCTACTTGTTTTTAATTCTTTTTTCTCCCTTATTATTTTCTCTTTTTATTGTTGATTTTGCTTGTCTATTCTGTTTTGCTTCCTGGCATGTATGTGGCAGTGGAGGGTGGGAGTTCGTCTCTTTCCCACCAACAGGAGACAGCAACCATGTCCATACAGTCCAGCCACAATTGTACCCCCTGTAGCACCACTGACTGGGAAAAAGCCAATAACAGTTACTCTACCACCTGATGAACAATAGACAGCAACCAACACCACTCAACCCCACTCTAAAACACAGTGCACACTTCCATCCTAAAAATACAACCACAGGAGACAGTTGGTGAGAGTCTAAGAACACCTCAAATTAAAATCATCAATTAAATACAAATATGAAAATAGCACCATGTCCCAAAGACAACAGATAATTCTAGCTCACACAAAGAAAGAAGAGAGAACAGTGCAAACAAATGACAAAGATGCAGATGCAAAAAGCATTTCCAAGGAGGGAAAGTCATGGAATTAACTGAAAAAGAAAAAAAATTTTTTTTTAAATTATATTAAAGATTCTACAAAGGACTGACAGAAAGGTCGAGCAAAGCAAGGAAAACATAAAAAACCCTTTAGAAGAATTCAGGAAAACACTATAAGAATAAACAGATAAAATAAATGTAAATTTTCAAACAATACAAAACTGGACATTAGAAATCCAGAAGACTAATAGTAAGATTTTAGAAATAGATAATACATTGAATGGGCAAAGGAGTAGAGGTAAAGCAATGGAAGCCTGAATTAGTGAATTTGAAGAGGAATCTCTCAATACTAGTATGCTAGAAGAATAATCAGAAAAATGAAGACAAACTTCTGAAGAAAGACTGAGTTATATGGGACATTATGAAGAGGAATGACTTATGTGATTAGAATTTCAGAACAGAAAGAGACAATAAAAAGCAGAGAGAAAATTGTCAAAGAGTTGTTGGGAGAAAATTTCTCTAACATATGAAAAACTAGAAGACAAGTATATAAGAAGCTGAACAAACTCCAAACTGAATAGATCCCAAAAGAAAAGCACCAAGACATATATCATAATCAAACTTTCTAAAGCAAAAGACAAGGAAAGAGTCCTAAGAGTAGCTAGGGAAAATGAAAAGTTACCTACAAATGAGAATGTTTGTAGACTAAACTCTGATTTCTGAGCAGAAACAAATACACTATGCTCTTTTGTTGAAATCTGAACGAGTGTGAACAAAAGCACAACTTACCAATATCTTTGAGACACAACCAAAACGGTGCTTATAGGACAATTTATAACAATAAATGCATGCATCCAAAGAGAAGAAAAAGAAAACAAAATCAACACCTTAACCAAACATCTCCAGCAATTAGAAAAAAAGCTGCACAGTAAGCCTACGGCCACTAGAAGAAAAAAAAGAAACAATAAAGGTTAAAGCAGAAATAAATGAAATAGAAGATAGAAAAACAATAGAAAGAATCAACAAGACAAAAAGTTGGTTCTTTGAAAGGATTAATAAAATCAACAAACCATCAGAAAATCTAGCAAAAGAGAAGAAGAAGATTTAAATAACACAAATTATATGAGTGACATCATGACAGAACCAAGGGAAATTACAAAGGATAAAAACAGGATACTATGAAGAATTATACTCCAAAAAATTTGAAAATGTACAGGAAATGGACAACTTACTAGAAACACACAACCTACCTAAACTAACACAGGCTGAAGTAGAAAATTTGAACAAACCTATAATAAGAGAAGAAACTGATCAAGTCATTAAAAAACTGCCAACTAAACAATGTTCAGACCCAGATGACTTTACTGGTGAATTCTACCAACATTCAGAGAAGAGCTGACAACAATTCTATGCAAACTATTCCATAATGGAGAAAAGAATGTAAAACTCTTGAATTCATTTTATGAAGCAAACATATCTCTGATACCAAAACCAGGCAAACACATCATTAAGAAAGAAACATATAGATCAATATTCTTCATGAACATAGATGCAAAAATTCTCAACAACATCCTAGTGAATAGAATACAACAATATAAAAAAAAAATACATCATAACCAAGTGGGGTTCATACCAGGTATGTAGGAATGGTTCAATATTCAGCATAATCCACCAGATAAATAAAACAAAGGAAAGAAACCACATGATCATATCAATTGATGCAGTAAAAGAATTTGACAAAATCCTACACTCATTCCTGATAAAAACACTCAACAAAATAAGAATAGAAAAGAAATTCCTCAACATAATTAAGGACATATAAACAAAACCAACAGCCAACATCAGAAACCAAACAAAGGTGCCCTTTATCACCACTCTTATTCAATATTGCACTAGAAGTCTTAGCCAGAGTTATAAGGGAAATTAAAGGCATACATATTGGCAAAAAAGACCTAAAACTCTCTCTATTTACAGAGTATATTATCCTATACTTAGAAAATCCCAAAGGCTCAGCAAGAAAATTATTGGAACTCATCATTAGATTTAGCAAAGTAGGTACAAGACCAGCATGCAAAAATCAGTTGGATTCCTTTACACTAATAGAAAGAGCTCTGAGAAGGAAATCAGGAAAACAATACTATTTACAATTGTTATGTTGTTGTTAGACGCCTTCAAGTTCATTCCGACTCATA